TAAATTAAATATATTTCAGCAAATGTAATCCCAACGTGTCTTGGTTTGGCCCAGTGCATGGGAAAGTCTAAGGGAAGAGATGTCCTGGCTGGTTGAATTTAGACACTTGTGAAGTCTTAGCTCTGTCTTTTCCTCTCCTCTGCTTCAGTTCCCTCTGTTTATAGATTGTCCCAATCATGTAGATACCTTCCTTTGTATTAGTTTTGGGTGGAGCATAAAAACCCTTAGAGGCCAGCATCAGTTGGTCTAGTCCATTGGCCTGTATACAGCTCCTTTGCTGGACTCCTCCTTTTTTGCAACAGAGCTACAGAGAATAGAGGTTTGGGCATTGTCTGGTAATCCTAGGTTGAAGCAATAAAAAAAACAGGCATTCTTAGCACCTGCATTCAGCAATATTCTTATACCACCAGTCCCAGTGACAACAGAAGCTTTTGACCAGCTTAAGCTTCACAAGGAAGAAGATTGAAACAATTTATAACCAGAGGCAAGAGAGTTTCAAAGACTCCAGAGAAATAACTGCAACCAGCAAACTGTCCTTTTGTAATGTATTGCTTTGAGTTATCCTATAATAGTCTTGGGTGGAGTTTATTCATCTTGTTTTCGGTAAACTCATTTTGGTTATCTTTTCACCTTGCCTAAAGTGCCTCTGTCTGCTAAAGGTCTTAATCTTAACAGATGGTATCAGATAGCCCCCGAGTAAAGCCAGACACTATAGTTTCCCCAAAGGCTCAGGTGTGACCTCACAACTCTAAACTTAGCAAGTGGGTGATAGAGAGGACAATGGTTGCCAGGGCTAACAAGAAGGCCCTTTTCCTTTTGAATATGGGAAACATATTTTCAATTATGGCTCTAAATACTCTAAAGGCAGCAGATACTGTCAGATCCTGCAAGCTGAGCACGGTTAGCACTGGCTAGTACTTGGTTGGGAGACCACCCATGAAGATGTGGTGCTGTTGGCTATATTTCAGATAAAGGAATTGGCAAAAGCATCTTAAAGTATCTGTTGCCTAGGAAAACCCTATGAAATTCATAGGGTCATCGTAAGTCAAACTGGCAATTTGAAGTCACATACCCAATTGTCTATTGCAGTTCATCAAGTTGCTCCTGACACGGAAAAAAAATTGCCTATTGGGAACAAAAGGATAATGTTTTGCAGTGTAATGTTTATATAACATTTGCTTCTATTTTGTGTTTTTTTTAAATCTACGACTTTAAAGTTGCACCAAATATCGCAGAAATAATGATCAACATGGGAAGATGGGTCCTGCAATCAAGCCTCCATTTGCACATTAGGCAAGAAATATTCAGAGGTGTTTTTACCAGTTCCTTTCTTTAGAATACAGCCTACAGTATGTGCTACCTCGTTGGTGGTCCCATTCATGTACTGATCAGGAGTGATCCTGCTTAGTTACCAAGATGGAATATACTTTCTGGCAACTCCTCTTTGGTATCTTGGCTGCGCTAGATAGCATTCTGCCATTTTTTGCTGCCTTTCTCACTTGGAAGGCTATTTAAAAACAGTGCATTGAAGTATAAAAGGAAGGCGAGGAATGTGTTACTTTCTTCAACCTAACTAAAATAAATGTATGTATTCATCTTTTAAAACAGGGATGGAAATCATATAGGCATTTAAATTTTGTTAGAGTGCAAATGTCATCCCCAGTGTTACATCTATTGGTGAGGCCTGATTGGAACAAGAACATTTGGAAGACTACATGTTTCCTATGTCTGCTGGAAAGCAAAAATGTTGGGTAGCCACGCGTTTTTAGTTCAGATCATAAAAATTTGTCACTGTCTTTAAATGTAATATTCACACCTATTGATCTGCAACGCTCAAAATTATGCAGCCAGCATGTTTTCTGGCCATGGTAGCTGGGAGATACTAGAACTTATAGGCCAAAAGTGTTTTTTGAAATGAGCATGGACATGTAAAAACATTTTACAAAAGTATGAATTCTCTATAGATATGAGCACATTGCTAGTAGAAATGTATTTCTACCAATAATCTTTCTTCAACCCAATGGTTTCTTCTCCTTCTTTACAAGGCAGCTCCCGATGAACCCTCTTTCCACCATTAATGGCTCCATCCATCAAGGGAAAGGATCAACCCCACTGCAACAGCAGCCAGACATGTCCCAACGGCAATAGTCATTGTGCCCAGCTGGATATCCCTAATTAATCAGATATGGATTTTCAGTTGACTCGCAAGCTAGTAACTGGAAAATTACACCAATTAATTAATGCTTTCAGCTCTGCAACAAAACCACTACAGCACACCATACATTTATACAGTAATTACAGAACACATGTCATGTTTGCAAATACTGTATACTGGGGGAAGAGCTACAACTGCGCAGTTATAGACTTGGGTCACCTTTTCCCTAGTTGGTTGGCCTGTACAGCAGATTACAGAGCTAATTAAACATCCTCTATAGTCAGACTCAAAAGCTCACATCTAAATTGCATTTACTGGACCTTTTTTGTTGTTTTTGCTTGAATTCTGACCTCATGCCTTTTGGGACTATTAAGTGAACCATGAATCTGGAAAACGAGTTTTTCACTTCATTTCACTTCTCGGGCTGCCTTCTCAAAGCTAATGAAGCACAGTTACTGTCTTTAAAATTACTAAAAATGTTTCAGAACATGAGACTAAACACAAACACAGATAACATAACAACTGTGGAAAGGAATAATTCATTCCATTCTTTGAGTATTAGGGTTGAGATCTACTCTAACTTTCCAAAAGAAAATACTGCACTCTAGTGGGAAGCACAATGGAGGACCTTCTCACAGTGGCACCAGAGGCTCTCCAAGTGGCCAGCTACTGGTCAAAGAACATTTGAAATAATGCCAAGTTCTTTTAAAAACTTTTTTATTTTTTAAATGCATTTTAACTGTACCCTCAACTCATTTTGAACACGATAAATAAATAAATTAGTGGGAAACACATTGTGTTGGATTAAGGCTTAGTTGCATATGCTCTAGATCAGTGGTTCTCAACCTGGGGTCCCCAGATGTTTTTGGCCTTCAACTCCCAGAAATCCTAACAGCTGGTAAACTGACTGGGATTTCTGGGAGTTGTAGGCCAAAAATATCTAGGGACCCCAGGTTGAGAACCACTGCTCTAGATTCATACTATGGCATTACCTTTCAATGGTGGTGATATTGTATGCTCCTGTGAGGCTATGTTGATGACTGCAGTGCTGCCAGCATGGTATGGTGTGGTATGGTGTGGTATGGTATGGTATGGTATGGTATGGTATGGTATGGTATGGTATGGTATGGTATGTCAAACAAACTTACAGAAGGGCTAGACTAAGGACCTCATCACAAAGGCCCATGGATTCTCCATGTATCATGTTGAATCCATGAGGTCCCAGTGGGAGGCAGTGGAAAACCCGCTTCTCCATACCGTGCAATGCACACCTTAGCTTAACCTCCATCCCACAGGAGGAAGCGTTGCTGCCAGCTTCTCCCATTGTTCTTAAGGCAACACGGGAAGCCATCCGTGTTGCCACCGCAGTGGCGTACACCACTCACTCTCCTCTATTGGCACAGAGCCCAGCTGGAAGTCCCTGTGCATTGTATAATGGGCTCCATGTAGAAAGTGGAGAGCAAGTAGCGTACAATGGGCAAATCAGCCCGTCTGATGAGATTGTGTGCCAAACGGCTACTGCAGCAGCAATAGTAACTTTGGCAGAGATAGGAGCAATGGCATCTTAACCAACACTTGTTTCTGAAATTATTTTTTATTGTAAACACAGCTAACACTTGTTAGCACTGCACAGAAGAGGCATAGTAAAACCCTTTTGAATGCCTGTTACCACGAAACCTCTATGATGAGATTTTCCAAAATGAAATGAGAAATGATGCTCCCAGGTTGGAAAGCACTCATATAGCATATAGCACTGTGGCTAATAATGCAATTGGACTCAAGCCAAAGGGATGCTCAGCTGCTGATCTGATCAGAGGTGAAAGAAAAGCTGAAGCTCCACAATTACAGGTTACAGCATCATGGAATGTGGGAAGCATGAATTAAGGAAAAATAGACATAATAAAACAAGAAATTAAATTATGAACATTGCAATACTTGGTGGGAGTGACGGAAATGGGACATTTTGAGTCTGATAACTGCATCTCAGAATCTAAGAAGAAGTGGAATAACATTAACAGTGATGAGAAATATAACAAAAGCAGTCAACAGACATAATGTAAAGTCTGGCTGAAAAATATCAGTAACACTTCAGGGGAAACCTATCAATATAACCACAATCCAAGTTTATGCTTCAACCACAGAAGCCGAAGAACAAAAAGATATTGAAAGATGTTATGCTGGAGATGGGGGGTATTGACCACACACCACAACAAGGCTTATTGTAAATCAAAGTCGTTTGAGATGCAAGAGTTGGAAACAAAGCAGAGTCAAAGACTGTATGAAAATTTGGTCTAGAATCAAGAAGTGAAGCAGAGGAGTGACTGATTGAATTTTGCAAGGCAACAGTTCAATGGAATCTACTTCTGAGCCAACACAGACTGTTATATTTATGAGATTTGATAATATTTGACAGATTTTTTAAATAAAAAATACTACAATCACATGCAAATCAACAATTGTATAATTAATAATGGTCATTAATAACAATGGAGCAGGCCCGTAGCCAGGATTTCGTTTCTGGGGGGGGGCTGAATCGGAGGGGGCTAAAAAAAATTCAGGGGGGTTTCGGGGGGGCTGAGTTTCGGGGGGGGGGCTGAGTCTGAGTGAAAGAGGGTCTAGCCTAGCAAACCTTTTGTATCATTACCCCAATAGCCCCATGCATATGGGATATATTGAGTATGGTGATCAGATCATGATATGAATGAACATAACAGTTTAAATAATGCACCAGTAAGGTCTTTTCACGAAACACCATGAGAATTTCGGGGGAGGCTGAAGCCCCTCAAGCCCCCCCCCCCCCCCCCCCCCCCCCCCCGGCTACATGCCTGCAATGGAGTCAACTTACCGATTGCCATCATATAATCCCACCGGTCCACCAGGCACATATTGAAGAGCAGATGATCTGACGTTTTCCCCTGGTCGATGAGTGAAATATTTCTCTCCAGGTTTTGGCAGACTGCAGAGGTCCAGCCTGTAAGGAACCAAACCACTACCAGAAAAATCACAGCCAGCATCTTCATCACTCGTCCACTTGTCATGTATGGAATTCGTTGAACTGTTCGAGAAAGGAACACCTTCAAAACCCTGCAGATTCAAATATGCAAAGAATTACAATATAGCACTCATCCTTTCAAATGCCCTAATAGGTGAGAACAGGGGTAAGCAGCATGTGGTGCTCTAGACCTCGCTGGACTACAGTCCCAAACATCCCTTATCATTAGCTAAGCAGTGACAACAGATGGGCATTGCAGTTGAACAACCTTGAGAAGGCCATAGATAAAGTACTTCTCTTATACCATACACTTCATTTACACAGAGCTATTTGTCAAATTCAGAGTTGTTTCATACGATACCATATATAACTAAAACTTGTATTGTTCCTCTTTCTTAATTGCACAGCCTACCCTAAAGCCAGGGTATATGTGAATTATTACTGTTGTTATTAAAGCAGTTGGTTTGCTTTTCAGAAATTCCTTATGATACATTTTAAATTGCTCATTATTTTCCAAGTGCTTAAAAATATATGCTCAATAAGGGAACTGCATAAAATTGAAATAATTCTGCTTTAAATGCCTCTAAAATACCTGTCATTTAAAAGCATGTAGAAAATATTCTTTGTTACATTAAAATAAATATTAGTCTCAGTCGTTGTAGTTATCAATGGGCATAAATTAACTTGAGATAGTTCTGTGGTCTTTTGCGATCTTTTGTGCACAGTGGTAAATCCCCATTATTATTATTATTATTATTATTATTATTATTATTATTATTATTTTGTTCATTTGTTCAGTCGTTTCTGACTCTTTGTGACCCCATGGACCAGCCCATGCCAGAGCTTCCTGTTGGCCGTCACCACCCCCAGCTCCTTCAAGGTCAATCCAGTCACTTCAAGGATGCCATCCACCCATCTTGCCCTTGGTTGGCCCCTCTTCCTTTTTCCCTCCATTTTCCTCAGCATCACTGCCTTCTCCAAACTTTCCTGTCTTCTCATTATGTGGCCAAAGTACTTGCTCTTTGCCTCAATTTATTATTATTATTATTATTATTATTATTATTATTATTATTATTAAATTTATATCCTGCTTTTCTCTCCTATTGAGGATTCAAAGCAACTAACAACAAGGTATAAAACATACAAGGTACATTGGGATAAAAGAAGTAGACATAATTTTAAAATAACAATTGAAACATAATAAAGCAGACCATAATAGAACATGTTACAGATTAAAATACATTCAAACGTTAGTAAGTTAAAGGTAAAAGTTTACCCCTAACATTAAGTCCAGTCGAGCCTGACTCGGGGGGGGGGGGGGGGGGGGGGGGGGGGAGGGCTCATCTCCATTTCTAAGCTGAAGAGCCGGCATTGTCCATAGACACCTCCAAGGTCATGTGGCTGGCATAACAGCATGGAGCACTGTTACCTTCCTATTGATCTACTCACATTTGCATGTTTTTGAACTGCTAGGTTGGCAGAAGCTGGGGCTAACAGCGGGAGCTCACGCCACTCTCCGGATTTGAACCTGCGACCTTTCGATCAGCAAGTTCAGCAGCTCAGTGGTTTAACCCATTGCACCACCGGGGACTCCTGCACCACCGCAGGCAGGGCCGGCTCAACCCATTACGCATTTGCAGTATAGTTGATTTTGCCCAGGGGCGCTCTTGAGGTGTTCTTGGAGGAAAATAGACCATGCGAGTTGTAGTTACTGGGATGTATAGTTCACCTACAATCAAAGAGCATTCTGAACACTACCAATGATGGAATTGAACCAAATATGGCACACAGAACTCCCTCGACGAACAGAAAATATATATCAGTGATTGCTTGGGGGGAAGGGGTGCCAAAATACTGTTTGCTTACCACTGAAAATTACCTAGGGCCGCCTCTGATTCTATATAATAATAATAATAATAATAATAATAATAATAATAATAATAATAATAATAATAATAGTCTTTTATTTGTATACCATTCTATCTTCTTGAGGGGGACTCAGGKCGGTTTCCAGCATAGGGAAATCATTGCAATTACCAACAAAAAACATTCAAAATAATCATTATAAAACATAGACATAATACTATATAACTGTCATACCTATTTAAAATTAAAAGCTAGTTCAGTACTAATTTTCACGAGGCAAGTTGAGTTTCCAATGGCCAGAAACAGAAAATATACAGAAAATATATATCAGTGATTAGTTGGGGGGGGGGGGCTTACCGTTGCTTACCGTTGAAAATTACCTAGGGCCGCCTCTAACCACAGGTATATTCTAGACATAGATAAAACTAAATAAACACAAACCAAAGCCATTCTCCGTCCAATTGCCACATGTCCATAAAGGTATTGCACACAAAAAAAGGTTCGGTCCAAATGTTACCTATCACCTATCACTCTTGTATTAATCTTCATTGAAGGCCTGATTCCAGAGAAAAGGTTTTATCTGGTGCCTGAAATTTAGTAGGGGAGGGGCCATTCTGATGTCTTTCGGAAGGGAGTTCCAGAGCCATGGAGCAACCACCGAAAAGGCCCTCTCTCTTGTTCCCAGAAACCATATTTTCGACGGTAGTGGGACTGAGAGTAGGGGTTCTCCTGTTGATCTCGGGGCTCATGCAGGTTCATAGAGGGAGATGCGGTCTTTTAAACAGACTGGACCCGAGTTGTCTACTTAATTAATTCAAGGGAGATAGCTCCCAAGTGAATAGCATTCTCTTCAACATTTTACAGATAAAAACTGAGACCCGTGTAGCCAAGAAACACCAGCATATGGTCAAGATGGCAAAAGTAATGAGGACAAAAATAAATTCTCTTTAACACTACAAATGTAGAACTATGAGTCCACTTTAATTGCCTTGGAAACATTCTATGAAAACCTTGATTTTGAAGTTTAAATAGTGGTGTGTAGAAATCTCAGCCAGACAGCTCTATTGTCTCACTAGACTACAAATCGCAGGATTTCACAGAGTGAAGTCATAGTGCTATAATTGTGTAGTCTGAAATGGCCTCTGGTGGATTGGTGCAACATGAAGCTAATTATTGATTGATTGATTAAAAAAACAGATTGCAATCTAACCAAAACTCATCATCTTATTTCTTCCTCTTATCAGAGTTTTCCGTACAAAGGATCTCAAGGTCAATATTTATCAGGAAGCTTACACATGAAAATAGATGTGAGTCATGCTCTCTAGTAATCCTCTCTTGAAGCACAGCCAGCTCAAACAAGGCATCCCAAACACTCTTTATGATCCCTGGTCCAAAAGGAAGCTTATGGCTTCACCTGAACTCAGACCGTGCAGGAAACTAGGAAAATTGGGTTTATATATCTGTGGAAGGTCCAGGGTGGGAGAAACAACTCTTGTCTGTTGAAGCTAGGTGTGAATGTTTCAATTGGCCACCTTGATTAGCATTTGATGGCCTGACAGTTTTTAGGTGTGGCTTGTTACTGCCTGGGAAATTCCTTTGTTGAGAGGTGATTAGGTGTTTCTGATTGTTTCTTGTTTGGAGTTCCCCTGTGTTCGAGCTTTGTTTTTTATTTACTGTTATAATTTTAGAGGGTTTTTTTTAGTACTGGTAGCCAGATTTTGTTCATTTTAATGATTTCTTCCTATCTGTTGAAATTGTCCACACATTTGTGGATTTCAATGGCTTCTCTGTGTAGCCTGACATGATAGTTGTTAGAATGGTCCAGCATTTCTGCGTTATCAAATAATATAAAAATATATATAAATAACTAGCTGTCCCCTGCCACACGTTGCTGTGGCCCAGTCTGGTGATCTGGAAAATGAAGTAATGAGAAAGTGTTGGTTTCTAATATATTTAATTTCTTTATGCTTGTGGGTAAATAGTATTTCTTTTTGTTTCTTTGTCAATGTTGATGTGGAGATTGTCTGGTTTGCCTACTCTGGAACATGCAACATACAATTGTTCTTCTTAGGGGTCCCTTTCAAATCTATGATACTATATCTCTCTGTGTATGAATCATATATATCTATCTATATCTATGGCTGGATGGCTCTTTGTCAGGAGGGCTTTGATTACGTTTTCTTGCCTTAGTGAAGGGAGTTGGACTGGATGGCCTTAAGCACTTTCTGTTGGTCATGGGGGTTCTGTGTGGGAAATTTGCCCAATTCTGTCATTGGTGAGGTTCAGAATGCTCTTTGATTGTCGGTGAACTATAAATCCCAGTAACTCTCAAATGTCAGGGTCTATTTTCCCCAAACTCCATCTGTGTTCATATTTGAGCATATGGAATATTTGTGCCAAGTTGGGTCCAGATCCATCATTGTTTGAGTCCAAAGTGCTCTCTGGATGTACGTGAACTACAACTCTCAAACTCAAGGTCAATGCCCACCAAAACCTTCTAGTGTTTTCTGTTGGTCTTGGAAGTCTTATGCACCAAGTTTGGTTCAATTCCATCGTTAGTGGAGTTCAGAATGCCCTTTGATTGTAGGTGAACTATAAATCCCAGCAACTACAACTCCCAAATGACAAAATCATAAATTTTTGAGTGATGGTCACTCCTTGTGTTGTGAGACGTTTTGTTGCCAAATTTGGTGTGATTTCGTTCATTGGTTCTTTTGTTTTTAAGGCACTAATTATGCACAGAGCATTTAGATAGATAGATAGATAGATAGATAGATAGATAGATAGATAGATAGATAGATAGAGATATATATAAACCCAATTTTCCTAGTTTCCAACAAACCTCACAAGCTCTGTGGTTGGTTGCCTCAGATGCAGGCGAAATGTCGGGAGAAAATGTTTCTAGAACATGGCCATACAGCCTGAATAACCTATAAAACCCAGTGATTCTGGGCATGAAAGCCTTCGACAATGCATTGCATTTTTTTTATTTACAGTGTTTATACCCCGCCTTCCTCACCCCAAAGGAGACTCAAGAGTGGCTTATAGAACACACATATGGCAAACATTCAGTGCCGATTATACAATTAACAAGGATAGACAACACAAACAGAGGTAAAGGTAGTTTTTTCCATCTTATTTCCAGCATCTTGGAACCTGTGCTCGACTCCAACCATTGGGTGGTTGGGGGAGGGGGGGAGTAGTGCTGTTGCTCCATCTTCCATGC